CTAAAGAAAAATGATTTTAGATTTGTATCTAATATATTCACATTTAGTAATTGTTTATTCTTGTGAAAATTAATAAAAAAGTGCTCAGAGTACAAAAAACAATTTTTTTTTCATTTATATTAACTGCGTAGAAGGTACTCGTAAATAAAAAAAGGTAAGAGAAAATACTCAACGACCATCATTCTTTTTTTTTACTTGAATAAAAATTGTTATTTCTGTCTTCAAGAAAAGATTCATTTTTTTAGTAAACAATATTTATTCAATATGAAATATATAATGCTGTGGGTGCAAGTGAAGAGGCGATATCCACACCGACACCCAGTTCGAAAAATTCATTTAAATCGTTCATCAATAAATAAAAGAGTTAACAATTAGAAATTACAACTTCAAGATTGTGATATTGTGGGAATCAAACATAAGCCTTGAACAAAAAATTATGATGCTGACTATATGTCACATCATATATTAGTTAGTAAAGAAGAAAATACCATAAAATCATATATATAAATAAATAGGGGAACGATTATATTATTTGTTCGCTTATAGTAGTCATCAATAATACTTAAGAATATTCTAGTTTGGATGTTAGATATTTGACACTCTCTCATTTCTTTATTAAGTAATAGAATGAAAATGTGTCCTTGTTACATGACATTTTAAAATTTATTAGTAGAATGTTACTGAATAATAGAATTAAGTTTGCAAATTATGATTAGTTAGCTAACAGAACACCGATGTTGTTTGCACCATAGTTTGCTACAATAATATCAGGTTTGCTGTCATTATTAATATCGGTTACTGATACCGATCGCGGTTGTGAACTAGTTCCAGTTGAACAAGTTGTTTGAGGAAGAAAGGTGCCATTACCGACGTTGTAAAGAACACCGAGGTTGTTCGCATCATAGTTGGCGACAATAATATCAGGTTTGTTGTCGCCATTTATATCAACTGCTGCGACAGACATTGGGCCTGAGTTAGTTCCAGTTGAATAAGTTGTTTGAGGACCAAATGTCCCATTACCGAAGTTAAAGAGAACACCGATGTTGTTTATACCATAGTTTGCGACGATAATATCCGGTTTATTATCATTATTGACATCAACTATTGATACAGACCGTGCCTTTGAGTTATTTCCAGTTGAATAACTTGTAACAGGATGAAACGTTCCATTGCCGAAGTTTAAAAGAACACCAACGCTGCCTTCATTATAGTTTGCAATTATAATATCGCGCTGACCATCGGCATTGACATCGACGAGTACCACTGAAGTTGGGCCTGAGTTATTTCCAGTTGAATAAGTTGTTTGAGAACGAAATGTTCCATTACCGAAGTTAAAGAGAACACCGACATTTCCCAAATTTTGGTTTGCGACAACGATGTCTGGCTTATTATCATTATTAACATCAGCTGCTGCTGCAGATGGTGGATATGAAGGACTTCCAGTTGGATACGTTATTTGAGAAAGAAATGTGCCGTTACCCGCATTGAAAAGAACACCAACACCGTTTCCACCATTGTTTGCGACAATAATATCAGGTTTATTATCACCGTTGACATCCACTCCTGATACACATTGTGGAAATGACCCAATTCCAGTTGAATAAGTTGTTTGAGCATGAAATGTGCCATTGCCGAAATTGAAGAGAACACCAACCGTATATTGATTATAGAGTGCAACGATAATGTCGGGTGTGGTGTCGCTATTGACATCAGTCATTGACAAAGACATTGGGCTTGTGAGAAGTCCAGTTGAATAAGTTTTTTGTGCAGTGAATGCCATGTTACATGAAACTATTGTAAAAAAAAGGTATTCTTTGCTTCTGTAAAATGATACAAACGTAACATATTATTAGAGTCGATAGGTTAGAGAAAGCGGTACTATTCGATGTCAAAAAAATCTGAACACTTTAATTAAGTCCTATTTTCTATTGCTACATTCTTCGTCAAATAAACATGATTCCTCAAACGTTTTCCTACGAGAACTTAACTTAGTTCCATCTCGAACGCAGTCAGCTGTACAAAACTTGGATAGATGTCTCGTAGCAGAATCTTCTTGCTTCAAATTTATATTAGTGAAAAACTTTTGTAAAAATACAGTTCTATCATTATGGAAAGTGTCTTTTGTATGCCTGTTTATGATGGTACTTCTTTCATCTGGAAGCACGATTCCGATCAGATATTTCATTCATCTCTAGTAGGGAAGATTTTAGGCAAAAAGAATCGCCTACGGATAGCATTCTATACGTCAAGATAGTCCAAAGGTGAATGTGAAAATGCAGATATTATATCTATCGTTTGTCCTGAAGATTAAAAAAGCTAAACTTACTTGGTGTTGCAGTGGTAGTGCTTGCTGCGGTGGTAGTGCTTGCTGCTGCTATTGTAGTAGTAGAGCCATTCGACATAGTAACTACAAAATTAACGATAAAAATAGACAACTATTGTATCAATGGATATTTTTACAATGAACGTGAAGAACTCAATGTGCCTATCGGTATATAATTCATTAAGTTCAAAAACAATTGTTGTATTCTTTGTTATCAGATCCAAAAGTACGACATTTTCTTGTACCTTTCGATTATATATGATCTATAATAGTCGTGTATCATTCTTTTAAACATTACATATTCTTCAATTTCTTATAAAAATGATTTCGATTTCTAATATCTATTATTTAGTTACTTGATGATAGTTGTCTGTCTTTTTAAGATAAAACAGTCAAAAATATTTTCTCACCGTTGTACTTACTCTTTTGAAAGTCATAAACTATTGCATTACTTGAGACGATCAGATGCGTTGGTATTACTGTCTCACCGAGAAGTAGGCATTGAGGAACAGCTGAACTATCAAATACTGCTGTATTACAACCGACAACATAATGTGCACATTGTAACGCACAAAATAATTTGTTATTAATAGCTAAACTAAAGAGTAAAGAGTTTGTTGAATTATAACTCATTCCATTATAAATATGACCAATCACTGAAAATGAATTGTCAGTCGCATAACTATTGATAAGATAAGAGATCCACAATACACGCAGAAAAATCATCTTAATAACAAAATAATATCGTTTTCACGTCTGTGTAGTTAAAAACTTTGATTATAACTGATGCTCAAATATGATTCAAAGTAATGTTAATATTTTTCAATAGTTTAAATATTTTTTTCTTTTTTCTTTTTTCTTTTTACTAAGTGAAAAACATTTTACTTTTAATGAACATATTGATTGAACTTATCACATGTCTAACAACTAAATGACACTCGAAAGATACATTAAAAATGAAATATATCAGTAAGCAATTTTGCACTTAAAACAGTTGTTTTTCTAACACTATCGTTTATCGTCATGTGCACTAATGATATTCATTAGAGTTTATTTTAAAGTTTTGAATAAAATATGAATTATCTCAAATCATTAGAATAATTCAAAAATAAACAAATTCATGTAAGACAAGACTAGAAGTCTTCATGAATTGTTTCCTCGACTAAAGTGAATAGTTATATTAAATGAAAGTTTAACTGAAGGTTTTTGGGGATGAGAAATCGAATAGTACGAGTCATTTTTCGAAATTTTCAAGTTTTGATTTCTTAGCTACGAGAAGGCTTTTTTTAACAAAATAACGATATTTTTATAAAGTTTGACCATGTTGAGTATGGGTGTGAGTGTGAGTGGTGTGTGTCGATCTAAGCCTCATACACCCACACCCTCAAGATTGTACTTGACTGAAAGGAAGAAATTTGAAAAGCACATACCTATCTTGATACAACACTGTATTATTTAATACTGTCGCTTATAGTAGTACTTTTCTGTAGATTTATTCTTATTACCTCAAATCCTTTCTCGATACATCATTAAATACATGTCATCTTGAGTGTGGGTGCTTTATCTCTTAGCTCACATTTGCCTACATCTACCCATTTATATTCTTCTCTATTTTATGATATTGTAGAGAGAATAAGTTTTTTCCGATTGATATGCACCGAAATTTCAAGACTTATTTTTTATTTCTTGAATAAACAAAGAAAATTAGTTTTATGTGAATCGTATGAGATGAAACAATACAAAAAGAAACAAAAAAGTATTTCTTAGTTTTAAGTCTTTCAATTATTGACGAATTTATTCAATGGTTCTTTGATGATGTTGTCAGTATAGATTGTCTTAATATCGAGTTCATAATATGTGTTCATCTTTGGAACATGATAATATTCGCTTCCTAATCCTATATCGTTCATTCTCGTTGATAGTTCATGAAAAGAAGAAAGAGCGCCACAAAAAAATCCATATATAAATTTTATATATAGACCATCTTAACTTCATGTGATTTTATGACTTTGAGAATCACAAGTATCATCCCATTGTTTATGTTCTATGCTTGTTACCAATGCAACAATGTTTGGTTTCCTTTCACCATTTTGTAACTTTTTGGGAAATTTTTTGAAACCAAAAAGAGGTAATAATATTTTTGGAGGTATCGCATCAGGTTTTTCCTGAAATTTAGGATTATCATACCACATTGAATCATTAGTATTCGGAAGTAATGAACGTATTTCTTCGTTATTCATTTGATACCATCCTTCAGGTCCGTCTATTGATAGATTAGGAAAATATCTTACGTAACTATTAAATTCATCTTGAAGATGCGATGATTTAACATTGCGTTTAACGTTTGATGAATCTATGGAAAAAAAAAGAAACATGCATATAAATTTGTTTTCTATGTTTAAAATATTCATTAGTTAATTTTCAATTAGAAAAAAATCCAAATAAATTCATTATCTTTATTTAACAACAAAAATATATTATAACTAAAAGTAATTTACATACTTATGAGATTACTAATACCAAATTGTGCTAATGATATAAGTATCAATGGAATAAATAACTGAGAAGCCATATGAATTGTAAAAGTATGTGTATTCAATTTGTATGATTCTTATCGATTGTTGAATCAATAGATAGAACATGCGTTTTATATATATTCTGTCACAGATCATTCATAAACCATCATATAAAAAAATATTCACAGCATTCTTTTTCAATTATGCAATTAGATAAGGTATATACATCTGTTTGGTTTTGAATAATTGATTCATTCATTTCACTGAACGACGTTAAACAACCATAACGACTTTTATGGAAAGAATGTGAATGTAATTCTGAAGAGATACTTACATTCACACAATTCCGTCAAGATATGTACTTCGGTCAACAATTGATTGAGCGTATAAGAACAAGTCGTAAAAAATCGTCTTTTTTTTCGAAGAGCACCTGTTGCTATATATGATTCCATGCAGCTAAACAAGTTGATTCTTAATATCATCTTGTTTTTTTTGACAAAGTATCTCTAGATTAGATCTTGCCTTTTTTTAGGAAGCCAGTAGTTTTGTTTCTGTTCATCAGTAAAATAGCTTGAGAGTGATCGGTTGATATGCTACTCTTGTGGGTGTGGGTCTGGATGTGGATAATCTTCTTGTTCACCCACACCCACATCCACATTCACATCCTCAATTACTATTCACAAGATAATTCAATAAAATATCTATAAAAAACAAAAGGCAATATAAGATTTATTCTAGAATATATAAGTTTTAATCAAACATAACGATTTAGTAAAAGAATTTTAAAGAAAATCAACCTGATACAATATCAATCAACTCAATTTTATTTGCTGTTTTACGAGTTTTCTGTGTTTGAATCCATAATAATATAGGGTGAACGAAGAATTGCAAATGCAATATATAGATAAATCAAATAAGGTTTCGTATCCAATATTTTAAAAATGATTGTACTAACTTCCAAGTTTTTATATTAACAAGTATAGTTCTGATCGATCTAATTAAAAAAAACAAATAATCACATGAGGGAGTAGGTATGAATATTTTATTTCAACCACACCGACACTCTATTATACATTATATTCTGTACTAATATCTAAAATGTCCTTGTAATTTTTATATTCTCTTCTTCCTTTCTACTATACTTCTCCTCCATATGTATATTATATTATACATTATTTTTATGACATTAATTACACCTTTCCTCATAGTTTTTAAATTTTGTACTTGCTTCCTACCCTAGAGCTATATTATGTGCATGCTATTAAACATTATATATGTGAATTTAGATAGAAACTTTTGAGTTTTTTTCGTTAAATAAACGTGCTTTTAGTATTATTTCTACTAGTTGTTGTTGATTGTGAATTGAAAATTTTGGAATTTGCTAAAGTTTCCTCTGAGTCGAAATCTAAACATATACCTCATCAAATGAGACGAAAGAGATCCAAGAATTCTATTATTATTATTATTACAGTTGCCGTTATATGTTTGGAGTATATTTCACAATATTATAGTACACAAGGACAAACGGGAGTTCAATTAGGACATCTTCATAATTATGATCAACTATTGAAGAGTAATGGAGTATTGGATACTTATTTTCGAAGAATCGAACAGTTTTTGAAGAAAACAAATGTTTCTTATTTCTCTTATGAACAAATGAAAACAGCTGATGAGAATTTGCTGCGAGAAGTGAAGAAAAAAGTTGCTCATCTTCGTGAAGTTCAACATGAGGAATTATTGAATATAAAAAATGGACAAGAAATACAACATGGATGTCAACAATCATGCTGTTGGTCTCAAAGGAAGATGTTTAGTTTCTACAATGGAGAAAAAAATCGTTTTCCGACAGTTCTCGATCGATTAAGTAATATAGATTTTAAATTATTAGCAGATTTATATTATGGAAAATACATAATACCTGATGGGATTAAGTTATCTAGATTAACCGATGATATTTTACCATGTTTACAAAATAATACAATCATTTTTGTTGATACAAAGGATTTGAGACGGTTTTTTAGACTTTTTCACAATAAAATATCTGTTAATTATATTTTAATCTCGGGTGATTCAGATGTTTCGTGTCCTGTTAATTTAATTGGTACTCATTCTCGTTTACTTGATCAAATCTTTGATGGAGAAACTCATATTTTACATTGGTTTGCCATGAACTGCGATTTAGGAACTAATGAACAATGGAAAAAATCAAAAATCTTCTCTTGTCTTCCACAAGGTATTGATCAATGGTGGAGTCAACGTTATTATATGCAGTTAGCACAAGGAAGGGATGATTCAATTTATAATAAATTTCTAAAAACAAATGATTACTGGATTTTAACTTCATTCGATATCGATCATGGAACAAACTATCGTAAATCTTTGTGGAATTTATCTTGTAATGGTCGTTTAAAAAATATTTCGAAATGTTTTTATCAATTACATTCAATTGATGTGTGGAGATATCATATCCATGTAGCTCGAAGTAAATTTGTTTTTTCGCCACCTGGCTATGGAATTGATTGCTATCGGACATGGGAAGCTCTTTATCTTGGTTCAATTCCTATTATTATTAATTCACCAATAAATTCAATTTTCGATAAACTTCCAGTCTTAATTGTAAATAATTATGAAGAGATTAATTTACAATTATTAAAATCTACTTATGAAAACATGACACGACAAACTTATGATTATACGCGATTGTATAAAGGATATTGGCAAAGGCAAATAAACTTATTTCGAAATTCTTCAGAAATGATTCAATATCATTATACAGTCGAAGCCGCTTATAAGAGCTCCGGATAAAGGAGCCATCCGCTTATAAGATCCGTTTTTTGGCACTTTTTTGCGATTTTAGTCCGCATAAAAGAGTTTTTTTTATCTATATGATTATATATGCACCATGTTCTCCTTCTTTTTCTTTCCTTTCATATATATGTGATGAATTTTTCCTTTCCTTCGTTCTTCTTTCTTTCATGTTCATCATCTATGATATTTTCCTTCTTCCTTTGCTCTATATACTGTTTCTCATAAAGATGCGCTGATGTGTCTTTCAACGGTTCGCAAGTATTTGGAAGAGCATTTTACAGATTACAATTCATATTGTGATATCGAAGACATGATCGAAAAGAACGCTTCGATTAATCGTACTCAACGTAAAATCACGGATTTCTTAAAATAAATTTATGTATGTGTGTGTATCTATGTACTACTTAATAAACGTTGACAAGGATCAATTGTTGCACTGTTTTACATATAGTTCGGATAAAGGAGCTGTTCGGATATAAGAGCCACTTTTTGATTCCCCGACTAGGCTCTTATAAGCGGGTTCGACTGTAAAAAGAATACCTATTAGATAAGAAATTTCAATACTTTGTCGAGCAAAAGCCAGAGCCACATTTCGATCTTCACTTGTGGATAAAAAACTATGAAAAGATAATAATCCACCGTATTTTTTCGCCAATTGATCAAAATCTATCTGAGATAAACCTTGACCACGATATACGGTAAAAGTTTTCGATTGATGATGGTCACCATATTGTTCGGAATGAAGGTTAGCAATATGTTGATGAAGATCTCGAATAAAGACGCCCAATTTAATAATTAGATCAATTTCCATTGTATGTAATGCTTTATTCGACATGGAGCAAAGAAAACAATTATATGTATACCACCAGATTGATTGTTGATCTTGATATTCTTTTTCGATTTTATCGACATTGTTCAATTCAATATTATTATCGGCAAAGTATTCTCGACAAAATATAAGAAAATCATTAAAATATTCTTGTTCGAAATCTATAGTCAGTAAGATTTCTTTCAATAGTTGAGTATACATAAACGATTGATCAAGTTTATTTAAATTTATATTTGAAGTGTCATCAATTGTCTCAATAAAACTCATAGACTCAGAATTTTGAGTGGCTTGTGTAAGTGATTCACATATTAATGAAATATCTGTGAATACTCCTTTCACTTTAGACCATTGTTGTGTCCATTGCTCATGTAGAATTTTGTTTCCACAAAAAATATAAATGTCACTTATCTGTGCCTTATCATGAATGATTGGAACAATTGTGTGACCGAGTGCTCCGGAAGAAACTAAACAAATTTTTTTATCTATAATATCATTAATAAATGCAACACATTCATCGACATCGGTAAATGTTTGTATATCATTTATAACCTGTCGTAATTGTACAATGATATTCATACAATCAATATCATTCACTTCGCCAATATTCTTATCTAACCATATAAGACAAAAATTTTGAATAGTATCTTCATAAGACACTTGAGTTAATAGTAATGTAAATTTGCTTTCGGAATTGTTAGATTCCTTCCTTACACATTTAGTAAATATATCAATAATTATCTTCACTATGTTCATATAGCTTGTTGAATCTATAGTAAAGCAAAGTATTTGTTTAAATGATTGGTTGACTATCAAACACTTCCTTTTCTGTCATAAAACATAATTTTTTGTATAAAAGTACATCGTAGGTGAAAAAAAGAAGAAGAAAAAAACGTGTATGTATATATCTACGACAACACAAAATACTCATGTATTTTGTTTCTGTCAATAACAAGAACGACAAATATGTCAATCAAACGATACAAAATAAAGATTCACCTGTATTTATTTTGATTATTCATGTAATATCTTTCAAAAGAGAAAATAATTAGGAAGTAAATGTGTTTCGTCTGAATATTTGAGATTTTATTTCTCTCAAGTTTTGAAATGTATACGTAGAATAATTTATCTCTTTCAATATTTTTCCTAATAAATACTATTGAATACAACATCGAAGAAAATCGTTTCAAGACGAACATTAAAATAATGTAGTAGTTTATAAACCAGAATTAATGGCTGTTCCAATAAAATATTACAGTAGTCGATATGAAACTGCTAAATAGTAATTTAGTTTATATAACTTACAAAAGAATATTTATAGAAAATAAGCAATTCTTCAATAATGTAATTATTTATTCTTTTATTCAGTATAAAACATCCGTTGACAATGACTTCAATTTAAAAATAATTAAAACTCGAAATAATACTTTTTTTCTTCTTAATATTTATATATTGAACCATTTCGTTATATATTATGATATTGAAATTAATAATATTTACATTGATAAAATAGGAAATCATATAATGATTGATATTATCAATAATTCAATATTACTGGCTCTTACAAGAATCAAATGCATAAAGAATAAACAGATAAATCTTCTTCTTTATTATTACAAAACCATTTTGAAACTGAATGGATCAAGTGAAAAGAAGAATATTTCTTTATCCACTAAGTCATTTTATTTTGAAAAACTAGCTATTCATACCTATTCTATTCAGATACACATATGGAAAATATTCAGAAAAATAAAGAGAAAAAAGAGAGTAATCGATATGAATACTTCTTACTTCTTGTCAAAGCGAAGAAAAATAAAGAAGATGTTGTGTTACACCTTCTTTCTAATTATGCAAGAAGTAAACAAAAATGTAGAATAAAATAAGAAAAAGAAAGATGTGGATGAACAATATGATGGTCATGTGGGAAATAGAGGTGAGAGAAATAGATCAAAAATGTTAATTTAGCAACAGCAAACCTTGGCACATGATCTTTTAACGGTGACAGTTTTCTTTCTGATGACTTTGCAACATGGTTTGCAGCAGCATACAGTTTTAGTTACACAACATTTTGGACCGCAGCAGCAACAATCACAACAGCAAGGATCACAGCAAGAGCAACAACAAGGATCACAACAGCATGGATCACAGCATGAACCACAGCCACAGCCACAGCCACAGCCGCAACCACATCCACATCCACAACCGCATCCGCAACCACATCCACAGCCTGGCATATTAATAGTAATAATGTAGTGAAGAATAAAACTGGAGTAAGATGAGAATTGGTTTGTGAAACTATGAGAATAGGTGTGCGTATATATATATAGTGACAGAGAAACGAACAAAATTATTTTCAACCAACAAAAACAACAATTCACTACTGTCTTCACATGACAATATTTAATATGTACATGTCATAGAAAAACACAGACGAAGAGACATAAGTAACTCTTTGTTACTATTCATGCAATATAACAAAAATATGAAATTCACACTTGTTACCAATGTTTTTCGTTTGATTTGTTTTGATAGTATATA